CCTCTGGGCCAGGAGCAGCGGGACTCAGTACCTTTGTCTGGTGGTCTGGTGTCCTCTGCGTCTTTGTAGTGTGGAACCAGGTGGCTGCCTGTCTGCAGCGGGGTCATTGAGTGTCTTCCGTGCGACTCGGGACCTCAGAAGGGCGTGCACAGACCTGCCTGTCTGCAGCGGGCTGATTCAGCATGTTCCGTGCCACTTGGGACCTCGGTAGAGCGTGGGCAGACCTGCTGGTCTGCAGTGGGCTCCAAAAATTCTTTTATAGCTGAATATAATAGGCCAGCTTATTTTCTTTTTAAAATACATTTTTTTGTGTATATTCGAGATATACAACATGACGTCATCTACTCATTTAGCAGGTATTCCATAGAGAGTACAATTTGATGACCTCTAGTTCTCAAGCTGTACACTAGATTTCTAGACTTGTTCAGCTGCATACTTGCTACTTTGTATCCTCTGATTTACATTCTCCCCCTCTCCCCACCACCTCCATCCCACTTCTGGTAACCACTGTTCCTTCTCTCTATATATTTGACTCTTTTTTTTTTTTTTAAGATTCCACATGTAAGTGAGATCATGTAGTAGTCATTCTGCGATTTGCTTATTTTACTGAGTATAATGTTTTCCGGGCGCATCCATGATGTAGCAAATGGTAAAATCTCATTCTTTTATAGGGCTGAGTAATACTCTGCTGTGTGTGTATATGCACTACATTATCTTTATTCATTTGTCCGTCAGTAGACATGTAGGCTGTTTTCCTATATTGAATATTGTGGATATGCTGCAATGAACATGGATGTGCAGGTATCCTTATGAGATAATGATTTCACTTCCTTTGGGTATTGGCCTTAGTTTTAATTTCTTTACAAATCTCCACAGGTACTATTTTCCATAATGGCTGTGTCAGTCTGCATTCCTGCCAACAGTGTACAAACATTTTCTTTTCTCCATGCCATCACCAACATTTGTTATCGTTTTGCTTTTTGCTAACAGTCATCCCAGCAGATGTGAGGTAGTGTCTCATAATTATTTTGATCTGTATTTCACAGATGATTAATAATATCAGCCATCTTTTCATACACCTGTCAGCTATTTCTGTGTCCTTTTGGAGAAATGTCTATTCAGGTTTTTTGCCCATTTTAAAATTGGATCATTTTCCACTTTTGAGTTACAGGAGTTCTCATAAATTTTGGATATTAATCTAACAGGTGTATGGTTTGCAAAGATCAGCTTATTTTCAAGACTTTTTTTATCCAGTCAAAAGACTTTCTTCTGATAGTCTCTTAAACTGCAGTAATTCACTGGGTAAAACCAAAAATATCTCCTAAGTAATTTCTCCTACTGAGATCTGCAAGGATGTTGCTTGGGCCTACCAACAGTTCCCTCTTAGTCCTCCTGACAGCATCTGAGTTGAAGTAGCAAATATAGACCTGGCTTTAAATCCAAAATCTGCTACTTACTCACTGTGAGATTGCAGTCAAGTTACCCAATCCTTTGAATATAAGCTTTCTTAGAAAAAGAAGGTGATGGTGTTTACTTAGGGGAGGCTTGTTAAATTAAACAACAAACAAACAAAAAATTCAACTAAGGGCCAGGTGTTGCCTTGGGCACTTGGAATTCAGGGATGCAAGTCCTAGCTATGCCCTTTAAGTACTCCCAGGCTAATGGAGCAGACAGACACGGACCAAAAACTGCACCAACCCAACATGGCATGAGCTATAGTGAAGATGTACAGAGCAGGAAAGGATCTCCAGACTGGAGTTGAAGGGGAAGAATTGAAAGAGAACTTACTTGAAATAACACAATTATGCAAAAATACAATGCCTGGTGCCTAGCTCACTTAATAAATGCCTTTGGGGTAATTTTTAACACCCTGAACGGCCCCCCACCCACACACACACTTGAGCTGACAGTCGTTAGTAACCTGGTCTTTCTCTTGTTTTCCTGAAGGTTCGTATTTTACATTGACAACAAGACACTTGATGGTCACACCTTCTGTTTTTGAAGAACCTCTAGTTTAATGGTAAGATTCCTCCTCTGACGGTTCATCATCCCCAACAGCTGCTCTTGGACGATACATGAAAACTGTGCAACTGGCGCTCCCAGGCTCATTTGGAAACTAGGCAGACAGCATAAGTATTTTTTACAACCTTCATTAAGAAGGTTTCTCAGAGATGATAAGTTATAAATTGTAGTCTAGAAGGAGAAAGTCTGTCATCTGAAACGCAGACAGAAAACGACATCTTTTGATTCTAACACTTCATATTTTTTACCACTATACCTCATTATCTTACACAAAAGACTAAAAAGTAGACAATAGAAATAATGAAGTGGAAATCAGGAATTTGGATATCTGACTTCTATTCATGGATAAGGAACTAAGCAAATGACTTTGTTAACAGATGCTCTCGGATACTGGATGAAACATCTGAGGCAGCAAACATTGTTTTATGTTAGAGGCTGTGGTGCTTTTAAATTATGTCCATTAATTCTTTGATGTTCTTCCCTTTAATAGGGAGCCAAGTAGCCACTGCTAGAATTGTGGGCACTGGGGCTTCCTCCAGGCTTCATGCGCTCCCAGACCACTTGCTCTGAGGGAAGCCCCCTGTCACGTAATGAAGACACTCAAGGGCTGATGAAAGGGACTTGTAAGAAAACAACAGGCACCAGCTCAGCAAGCATCTGAGCGAACCACCTCAGAAGTGAATCCTACAGCCCTGGTCAAGCCTCCACATGGTAGCATAACCTCAAAAGAGGAGATGGCTAGAACAACCCAGTTCAGCCACTCCCAGATCCCTAACCCCCATCTGCAGTGAGATACCAAGTGTTCTACTCAGCTAAGTATCAGGGTGATTCTTTACTCAGCAATAGATAACTAAGATACAGGCCAATAAGGCAAGAGTGATGAGGTTTTTGTATTCTGGAGAACATAATGTTCTTAGTTTAAAAAATTCTATTAATGTCTTCCTCTGGAGCATAGAAATACACACACAAATCTGGGGTTAGGAGGCAACACAGAGTTAAGACTATTCCTACTTTATTTTACCATTTTGTATTGTCTACCTCAAAGAAAGTAACTATCTTAGACTTTAAAATACTAGAATTATATCAGTAAAAAGAAGTGATAGGTTGTGACTTCTGAAGAAACAATTTAAAACAAAATCAATGGACAGGTGGTAATAATGAAAGCAAATAACTTCTCTCAAAATCATAAAAATTGGGCATAAAAGCAATGAAGTCCTAGCCATAATTATTAGATAACAAATAACAAGTTTTCAACCTTACCAGAACTGGTGATTTGGGCATTTAAATAATTTATTTCATTTCTTTAAAAATATAATTTTGCATGGTTGTATGAATTAGTCTTTAAAGGTCCAAGGTGTTATATCTGAAAACAGAAGAAAGGGCATTTTATTCTCATTTATTATTTATTACTTTTCTCAAAAGTTAGATTCATTTATTCACAAACATTTCATGTATATCTAATTTCTGCCAGAAATCACCCTAGAGGCTGAAAATAGAGTGACAGAAACTATATTCTGTGTCCCTAAGGAACTCAGAAAGGCTAACTAGTACTTTTCACGTGAGCATTACCTGTGGGTATATTTTAAAATGTGGATACATAAGCCCTTTCCTAGAGGCTCAAATACTAAAGCGGGATAGGCTCTGGAACTCCGTGTTGCTAAATCATAATTGCTTCTGATGCTCAGGCAGTGTGGAGAATCACCACAGGGAACAGTAATACAATATAGCCCATTTTCTCTATCATCAAATATTTACTGAATACCTGATCTGTACTGAAGTGCTAGGTGCCAAGGATACCACTCTGTCTCCGCTCCTCCCCAAACACACACAGAAAAGGTAATCTGAGGCTAGAAGGATAAGAGTCAGCCAAAGGAAGGGAGAGATGAGAAGGTCCCATCATAGGCAGAGGGTAGAGCACCTATAGGACACAGGGTGTTATGCTTTATATCTAGATGTCCCCCTAAAGCTTCATGAGCTCATGGGAGGGTTTTTTGGGCAGTGATTGGATTGTAGGTGTGTGATACTCCTGTAGTGGAGTAGTCCACTGATGAGTTTACTGATGTGCTAAACGTGATTTGGGAGATGAAGCCTGCTTGGAGGTGGGTCTCTGGGGGTGTGGCCTGGAAGGGGGTCTATCTCCCTCCCAACTCCCTTGATATACCTCTCTGCTTCCCACTGCCATGCCATAAAGTTTTTCTCCCCTGCCACATGACTCTGCCATGCCACCCTGCCCTGGAGCCAGCTGACTATGGACTGAAACCTCTGTAAATTGTGAGCCAAAATAAACCTTTTCTAATTTAATTTGTGGATGTGGGGTATTTCGTCCCAGCAATGAAGAAAGTAACTAAGATGCAGGGAGAGGGGAATGCATTTAAACATGGGACCATACCATTTGGTAGGCTTGATTAGTCAATGAAAAAACAAACCATATAGTCATGGATTATGAGCTTTTTTTTTCTTTTTTAAATTTGAAAGAAACCTAATTGAGCCTGTAAAATCATCTCACTTCATAGCCAAGAAACTCTAGAAACTGATTTCCCCAAAGTCATGCATAAAGAAGAGTTCTTTCTAATCTGGTTCCCATATACTTTTTCCTTGATTGGCTCCTTTTTTGGACTAAAAGATAACTTCAAGAACTAGGCTAAAGTATATTTCTAAATCAATTCTAAAAAAGCGTGTGTGGTTACTACAGGCTACTATCTCAGGTACCATCAATCTGGGCTTTTTGAAAGGTATAATCAACCAAGAAAAAGGAAGATGTGAAAAATGAAAAATGTTTTTGAAGCTATTTCAGTTGCTCCTGTTGGAAAATGTTTGAATTGAGACTCTAGTAGGAATAAAATAAGCTCATAGAAAACACTGGTTTTGGAATCTGAATCAATGACCTAGAAATAAATCTCAGAGAGGGATAAGTGAAATTTCAAAAGAGTAGAATCAAAGAATATCAAAATGTTATTTCCAAATGGTTTGTAAAAATAGTGTTTTGGGGCTACAATGTAGAAATAAGCACATTTAAAATCTACAGGTATTAATGATATACTGGCATTGTGTTACATAACACTAGTCAGCTGAAGAGTAAATTCCCTTCAAAAGGGTTTATTACTTGAAGTTAACAAGGATCTTGTGTTGTAGTCCCACCAATGACACAAACTCTTCGTCCTTCTTATGCTCTTTGACAACTGCTGACCACTTCCACCACTTTTCTGAAATTCTTCAGAAGGCATCCTTCTGTCTTTCTCCTAAATATGACTAAACTCAGACTTCTTATTTTTTTATTTCTCTGTTCTCCCTGTCATCTTGAAACAGTCTTCTCGTTGTTTCCATGAAACTGTTGGTGCCCAGCTGTTTTTTGACCATTTCTTGCCTGGCCTCCCTTCTGTCCACTGACATCGTCTAAAGGCTCTACCTGTAAACCCCCCTCTTTCTAATCATCCATTTATCCTAACATGGCACCATGATTCTCCAACTTGTCAAGCCTCCCATCCTTGGAACCAACGTTGACAATTCTCTTCATATCTCCAAATATTCGATACCTATAGAACAGTGGTGGTGAACCTGTGGCATGCATGCCACAGTGGACTATTTGCAACTTTGGAAGCTCTAAAAGGTTCGCCATCACTGCTATAAAGGAGATCTGATTCTGTGTTAACATTTCCAAGATATGGCCTTCTCCTCACATGACCAGCGCTTTACCTTAGAACCAAGACCGTGGTCAGTTACTGTGGCTTCCTGTGGAGAGCCTCATTTTTCTAGTATGTATATTCTGCATCCAGCAACCTGATGAAGTCCTTCCTCATCATATCACTTCCTTCCCCAAGAATCAGTATATGTCATATTGAATTCAATCCCAGTGTCCCTTTGGTTGGAATGACTTTCCCTTTCACTAGCCAAGTCTAATTAACATTTTCCCCAAGATCCAACATGATATCCTTTCTCGAATGATGTCCTCCCAACCTAATCCCCTTCCATGGTGAACTTTCTTTCTCAGCAGTCATGTCTGAATCACTCTTTCGCAGAGACCACAGTAAGGTAAGGCCAGCAGAGGGGTGTCCATAAATGTTTGTTAAATGGAACTGAATTATCCTGCAGCTCTGCCAAAGTTTAATTTTAATTATATAAAGATAGAAGGAAAACAGACAACACATCTTGTTTGCACTGTAACTATTATCACTTTGATTTCTTAAACAGTAATAACAGAAACACATACCGAAAGCAAGTTTTTTATTTAAATAGAAAAATCACTGGAACAGAATCCTTTAAACATTTATGTTAGTTTTCTCTCCTCTAATTCTCTAGCTAGATCTTATCACCCTGAATATAAAGGGTCTTTTGGCAACTCAGGAGCTAAGGATTGATGACAACGGGAAGGTTCAAATATGTGAAGGATGAATTGTGTCCAGAAGACTGTGGGTCAGAGAGATATTTTCCAAATGGGAAATGAATTCTGACAGGATGCTGCCTGCTGGGAAATGAAGGAGGGCTTTGAAAAGCTAGTAATCATGGTTGAATTTTAGTTGTGTTGACTAATGGAAATACACATGTGGAATCTACAATATATAAATTGTTCTGAAAACTTCATTATGCAGAGGAGGAACCCAAAGATCTTTTAAAATCTGAGCAATCACATCAAACATATTAATGTGTCACAGATAACAGGTCTGTCTTAAAAATAATTGATGCTCAAGAGTACTTTGCTTAGCATATAAATCTTTCCTCTTCCACATCAAGGTTAGCTCCTGGCTAGGTAAAACTAGCAGGAAGTTGCTGGAAGACAGACTGTGCAAAATCACATGTGAAAATTAAAATCATACATCCATACTTGGATCTAATCTCCTATGTCTTATTTCTATTTATGTATGAAATGTTTTCATTCATTTTCTGAGTATCCTCCATGTGCCAAGCACTGTCTGAAGCTCTAGAGACTCACTGATCCCCGTCCAAGGGGATCAGTATTTTTCTACCACAGGCATGGTAGAAAAATATGAAGAATAAAAGACAGGAAATGACTAAAAGGGAAGAAATAACACAAAATGGAAAACTGTAGGTTTAATTCTCAATTTATTAAATGAATGTTAAATAAAGCTGCCATTCCAACTTGGGTCATAGATTATAGATTCAGTTTTCAAACATTCTCATGTCCAAATGTGTCAAGCCAAGCATGCTGCAAAATAGACTGGGTAAATGGAACAGCTTCTAGCACCTACAGATTAGAAACTGTTGTCCCAATCTTTATTTCTTAAAAAATATAATGGTTGACACTATTTCCTAATTTGTTTTTGGCAATATTTTCTTCAACATAATGAAAGAAATTTAGAATTAATTATATCATCATAAAAACAATTCGGAAAAGATAATAAGGAACCATTACAGAAATTTTAGAAAATACACTAATAATCAGAAATGATCTATAAGGCCAATTTTCTATGGAAACTATTATGCAATACAAAAATCTTGGAATTAAGCAACATACAGCAATAATAATTTTAGGGAAAACAGAATAAAATACAAGTACAAAAGCAAACTTGCTTGACCCCCCGTAGGATGTTCCTTTCCTGGCCAGTATCTGAGCCTCTCCCATTCTCTGCAGCACCCTTCCCTCACCCTAGCAATTGTTCCTTTTGCCAAGCTCCTTACTGTTGTCTCACCAGCTAACGCTGGCAGTGAAAAACCCACTACTATTTATTTTCCATGTATTTGCTTTTCTTTCCTAAGAGATAATATGCTGTTCCCTGAGTAAAGGAAGTGTGTTCTATTTTTCTGTATCCCCAGCAACTAGAAAGCATCCTGCACATGATCGACGAGGATGCATCTGCTTGTATTTATGTTAATATTTCTGTGCATACTAATGAATATGGTTGGCTGAGAAGAAAGGACCTAGGATTAAAATTTCTAAATGCTCCATATTCTGCCTGATTTGGAAATACTTCTGAAGAAATAAATACAGCTTCGTATTATTTAAACAAGTAAAAACTAAGAAATAAAACTATTTGTATTTTTAAAATTAAAAAATTCATTTATTTGAAGTTTAAGTTTTCCTTAACTTAGATAAGCTATAGAGAGAGCAAAAGACCCTCAAACCTTTCATTACCAATTATACTTATTTGCATCTTCTTCCCCTTCTGCCAAACTCCAGTTTCTAAAATTAATATGTCCAATGAGGAGCTGTTCAATTTTTAAAAATGACTAGTCCTAGATAAAGCGTAATTTTCCTAAACAAATAGGATCTACATATAGATATCAAAGACCCTCAGGTTCACACACTCTCCCTTTGGCACACAGTGTTATCAGAGACAAAAATGATGGGATAAAGAAGTCATCCTAGTAAATTAGTAACTATACGAATGAATGTCACAGGCAAGGCAC